TCTCTCTCTCTCTCTCTCTCTCTCTCTCTCTCTCTCTCTCATCTCTCTCTCTCGCTCTTCTCTCTCTCTATCTCTCTATCTCTCTCTCTCTCTCTCTCTAGTGTGGTCCTGACAATGGACTGCTCACCGCAGATCATCTGCACTAGTGGCGCCAATGACCATGGACACGGTGATCACATTTCACATGTTTATCAAGAAGCTGGGCTGGCTTGCGAACGGCTCAGTTAGCCGAATATGACACCGTCTGCACAGTCCAGCGAGCTATCAGGACTGGTGGTACCGAGCACATCAGCAAAAACCATCCGTCCAGTAGCTGGCGAGCGACAACGGCTACAACATCCAAATTGCAAAACGCGCAGCACAGCCTCAAGCCCGAACTGAAACAGGAAGGTGTCGATTGTATATTAGAGTGTCACTGCGAACTGTACCAGCATTATGGACCGCGCCAATATTGATGTGCATGTAATACCATTCAATTGAGATTTCAAACGTGCAATGTTGTTGAGATCCCACTGGAAAGTTCATGTGCTCACTCCTTGCTTCGTTAGAGTGATTCCCGGGTCTCCATTCTTATCGCTTTATTTCTATCGACATTTGAGGTAAAAAACCATGATGGTTGGGGATCCTTAACACGCGCCCCGGTGGCCGGTTGGATACCCTGCGCTCGGGTGGGGGGTCAATTTGACCCCCTGAGATTTCGGGAATTAAGAAAGCTAGAGCCACTAAATTCACAGAGTATGTTGAACTGTACATAAACTCTCTTAGGTCAAAGTTTGAGGTTCCTAGATCATGACATTCGGGTCAAATAGGGTCAAAGGACAAATTCCGGATTAATCCCCAAAGAGCCCCTAGAACCTAGGCAACCGTTGTAAGCAAAATGTCGCACACTCAGTTAAGGTCAGTGACCTTGTTTGACCTTATAACAAGTGCCCGGGTGGCCGGTTGGATATTCCTCACTCGGGTGGAGGGGGTCAATTTGACCCCTCCCTTGAGACTTAGCGAAGTAAGAGAGCTAGAGACACTAGATTCACAGGGTGTGTTGACCTGTACGTGAACTCACTTAGGTCAAGGCATGAGGTTCTTAGGTCATGACCTTCGGGTCAGGTAAGGTCAAACAAGGTCAAATTCCAAATGGGCTCCGAAGGGCCCTTAGAACCCAGGCAACTGCTCTAAGCAAAATGTCACACGCTCAGTTAAGGTCAGTGACCTTGTTCTACATTTTAAAGGCCATGGTGACTGAAGTGATGTAAGACTGCTTTGAGTTTGCATTTAGATAAGCGACAAAGATTACGCTAAGCAGTATGCTCCTTAAACAAAATGCTGAACCTGAGTCATTCTAGGTCAGTGACCTGTTCTGACCCATAAGAAGCCCATGGAAGGTGTATAATGCGGTTCCTGCTATCAGTATATTCGATATGGTACCAGAAACCAGTCCATACAGCAAGCACGAGAGTAATAAAACGGACTGGTTTTAACCTCGGACTGGCGGTCATACCTGACACTAGGTTAATACTATTTGTTTATTCCATTGTTTTTGCACCTAAGAAAGTATCTTAGAAATGTGTGGCTTCGTCTAACACTCCGTTGTTTGACCGGATTGAACGATTCCCCAGAAATCGCCTTCGCTGAAACCATGGCCTGACTTTGGCCTCCCATAGGTCAGCGACCTTATAAAGGTACATCTAAATTATTGATGGCAGACGATCCGCTATTCAATTGTCCACAGGTAAGCAAAATTTGGCGTGACTACGCCGCGTCGTTCGGAAACCATTCTGGGAAAACCTTTCGGGGAGTCAATTTTACCCCCACCACCCGAGCGCGTGTTAACGTATGCACGTTCGAACTGAAATCTGCCGCTGCTATCTTCGCGGTTCATAAACAAAGTTATGGCCCTGCCACACACTTTTTGCTACTAAAACTTGAAACATCAAATATTTTTTTTACTCCTAGCGCCTGTGCTAATCGAGCTCCCTGCCGTGCTTTATAGAAGGTCAGTCCGCCATCGATGTCTTCAGGTGTTTTCTTTTTTTGCAGCATGTTATTTCTTACGGCGGTTGATATAGTTGACACCCAAGCTCAGAGGCCTCACATGTCAACTGTATTCCCGGGGACTGAATTTGGGGGGTGGCATTATGTAATGTTCTGCATAGATAGTCACTCAATTTCATTGTGTTATGTATGAGGTATAAGGTATATTAAGCACAACGAAGTGCACCGTAACACAAATCAAACGGCGGCTCCTGTCCGGTGGTAATGTTATGTTTTACTACAGCAACATCGCCTTAGCTCAGTTGTGATATGGACCCTGCGTAGAATTCAAGCAATGCACTGTTTGGAGGTTGGGTATTCTAAGCAATGGCGGATCGAAAAGTGGCAGTAAGCCCATGCCACCACTGCGTAGTGGCATGGTCGTCTCCAGTACATACCACCACTGCGTAGTGGCAATAGTCGTCTCCATTGACACGACACACTGGGGCGAACAAAGCGGATTGGAACTCCCAAGCTGGATGCTGGATGCATCTTAATTTCGGTGCAATAATTGTCGATAAAGCAAGCGCATCGCTCGTAAAAGTAGGATGTATTTCAGCTAAAGACATTTGGAAAGACTCGTAATCAAATTTACATGCATTTTGGTCACAACATAACCGCACAGAACATCACGGACGCTGACGTTTCATTCGGTGCTGAGGAGCATTTGTTTACTGAGCTTATTTCTAGAAAATATTAATATATTTCCTCTGTTGTCTAATTTCCATTACTCTCACGGAATTTTTAGAACACACAGATTGAAGCCGGCAACATGAAGCAGGACTCTGACGAACAGAATCCCGGCCATGGCCGTCATTATGGGATGTTGGGCCAGACCGTACTGCAGCTGTGATAGGCCCAGCCAGAACTTGCTGCCGAGGGATGATCCCTGGTAGACTCGACCATTGGACTCGTCCCCCATGAAGGGCCATTGTCTGCCCGAGATCTGAAAAGTGGTGTGAATGAATGGCTTAAACGGGCGGGAGCTATTATAGCACCAGGAACGAAGAACTTGATACCACATTATATCGGCTGTTGCTTTTTAGAAAACGTTTGATTAATGCTGTCAATACAGGTAACACATCGTTTCAACCATGTTAATTATTTGTCACAGAGGTGAACATCACGTTCTGAAGCCGTGTCCATGCTTATAGCACAAGCTTATAACGGCTCACGTTCATGTCTATGGGTACCTAATGATTGCATGCATATGTGTTGTAGATGCGTGTTCATGCGTTTATGGAGGTGTAACTAATCAGATACATTGTTCATTGTTGAATTGCTTGGCAGCCACGATTTTTCACAGCTTACCCAACCCTTGGTCTTCTGAGCTGTCAATTTCGAGGGTTCTGGGCCAGGTACAGACATCCTGCAGTCTTCGCAGTCGCACTCAGGGGCGCCATCAGGCACGACTGCTTCGACATTTCCAATGGCGTCCCCTGCAGGGTCTGGTCCGGGTCGCACTCTCGGTGAGCGGTTTCGGCGTCTCGGCATTGCGGGTGCTCAAAAAACAATTTCGATCCGGGTGCGATGAACAATTCGAAAGTAAAGTGAAAATACGTTAGATTTTCTGGGAGATTACCTTTCAACCATCGATCGCAAGTTTATCCAATACCTTTCCGCGAAAAACATATAGCCAGGCTTAGATTGAGCCCCAAATGAGCTTACCGAAAATCAAAATCACGCGCCAGTCATGAGCTTTTCCGCCATTAGATCCTCTCTTTTGATTTACAAGCTTTTTATAATGTCCCGTTGCGGTGTGCCCGATTCATGTCTTGGTTCGTCTCGCCTACCATACACGGGGCTTGATGCCAAGGATATTTTAGCTACTTTATTAAACATTTGGGGTAATGTGCGCATTTCAAGTTGGTTTTGAGTGAATGTCGCTTTACAGCGTATACACGTATATATGCGTTTTTGTCGGGCTGGATGCTGGGTGACTCGTGGTCATGATGATGTTGGTTTGACGGCGGAGAGCCATAAAGTTAGGATTTGGGAGTTGTTGGCAAGGTGTAATGTAATACGACAGCTCACCCTCTGCATACTGGAGTCCGTGATCCATGTTGAGGACAAAACTGTGCGTGCTTATTACAACACACGAAAACATCAGATGGGGGCTTCCAAACATAATAACTTGTTCAGAATCAGGTGTAGTTATCCCAACTGTCTGCCGATTCTGTTAACAAAAATCAACACACCTGGTGTATCCGATATTTTTCAGAATATATGTGGTGTTGAAGAGGGGTTGACGTGATAGCATTGAAGACAGATGAAGAAACCAACACATGTTTGACACCACCCTGGCATTGTACGCATAGACAAACACTTTTATGTCTGAGAACTTTCAACCCTGCTATCGGTGACCTGCGCTTATTTCCGACTGTTGTCGTCACCACACAATGCAACATCAGTCGAACGGCCTTAGCATAGCACGTTGTCTGCTGTGGGAACTATTGCTGGTATGATAAATCTCTATCGAAAACGTAATTTATCTAATGAGCTTTTTGGCGCAGATGTGACAACATACACATGCTTTTGAGGGCGGTGGCAAAACAAGGAATTTTACGAGGCATGAATGGGAGATTCATGCACGAAGAAGGAGCCAGCTCTCAAATTTGACCCTAAAACTTGAGTTCAGTGTTGGCAGATCTGAGGCACACAAGCGCAAGTTTAGGTACGGGGGATATTTAACGTACGCGACGTTATAAGCGTGTACTGTAACCCGTGCCCGGTCGCGGGAATTGTCTTCTCCCTACGTTTTTATCGAGCACAAGTTAAAAACAAACGCTGGCAGCAGCACAACATTTCCAGCATCTGTTTGTCTATTAATTTGGCATCCTTTGCGCAGATTTGGAGGTTTTATCTACCGAAATCTTTGGACGGACTGGACGAAGAACTCGAACACTCTAATGAAAACATGTTGTGAAAACATTCTAACGCAAATTGAGGTCACAACAGGTAATGCAAGAACATGCAAGGTCATATGAGGTCATCCAAGGTGAATAACCTATCTTGCCAGTAGCGAGAAGGCTAGATGAGCAAATGCAACGCGTGTACCCACCTCTTTATCGCGTTTGCAAAGCTGATGGTGTCTAATTTTATGTACCAACGTACCCACACTCAGTTAACCACAAATATATTGCCAAGCATCGAAAGGGCTACGCATAATGTAGACAAAGCTATGTGATCATGAGCATCTGTAGATGTACAATAGACTATTTCTGACCACAGAAAAGCATTGTGCTGGCCACATATAACCGGTAAGGATTTGATGTGACAACCTTAAGATTACTTAAAAGTGTTTTTTGAAGTCTGGAATGCTTTTTGTCCAAAGGTGCATCTAATAAAATGAAATTATTTCAAAACCAGTTGTGAAGAAAAGCATCGTTCTTGTCGGCGACTGGCACGGCCATTTTGGACGGTGATCTGACCTGACCTGGTTGATGTGGGGAACCGAAATGATCGCAATAGGCTCTTCACAGTCGTAACGCTTATTTTCTTGCCCTCAATATCCATTTTGACATATTCAAAGAGGCTTCAACTGCACCTATCGAAACGACCATTTTCAGCGTTTTGTGGCCTTTTGTGGCCTCGCATCTGACCGAAGGTAAAAAATTTGGTGTGCCTTTTCATTGTTTTACGAGAGCATCAAAACAGTGTCATTGCTTTTCTAATGCGGCGTCTGGAAGTTGTGTTGGACCCCGTGGCGGTCCATCTGGCGGATCCCTGGGGAGGAGGCATGGGCAATGCCCCTTCCCCCCCCCCCACCCCCCACCCCCTTGTAACCCTGAGGGAACCCACACGCTCCAAAAAGGCTCATAACCGGCCGAACGGTCGCTTTTTGCTAAAACGAAACACAACAAAATTAGACTTCTTAGTCCTCCAGACGACCAAAAACAGTCGCACAAAAAGCAAAGTGAAGAGCCGTGAGCGGACGAAATTCTTTGCTGATTAAAAGGATGGTAATTGGGGAAATTCTGAGTGTCATCGCGTTGTCCAGAGGCGTTAAAATGTTGCTGGGGCCCTATATGTCCACTTGCCAAGAAAACCAGATCGTGAGTAAGTTCCACATCGCCTTAAACTCCTTTCACTTTCTCGTAGAGCCTCACGCTGCTGTTGGACACTATCTGCTAACGTGCCTGGGCACTCTTAATCGATCAGGGGCCACCCATGGATTCTTTACATTTGCCCGACAGCTCTATGCGCTTTTACCTACGCCGGGATGCAGTCAGTTATTCAGGAGTCATTCATACTGGCCTTCGGTTCTGTCCACTTGCTCACAGGGTCTTAAGCTGCTTGCTGGTGCCCATATATGATAAGGTACCGAGCCCTTTAATGATCAGGGGCCCTCTCCATTGATATAGAGCTTATTCACTTTGATCACATTTCCGGAAGAAACATCACTCCCATTGGGGTCTTTCTATTAACCTCCCTGACGGTCTAGATCGCAAAGGGGCATTAAATCATGTCCTTTTAGTAAGAGGGACCTGTGCTATGGCCGGGGTCCTGTATGTCAGTCTTGGAGGCACTCCGGCAGACGTACATTGCAGCGCATTCCTTATCACTGGCCAGTGACTTTACGAAATCGTACGAGTCTTTGCGCCGGACTGGAATCTCATACAAGGCGGCAATAGCTCTGGAACCAACAAATCTCTCGAACCAATAGGAAATTCAGCGCGAGTACGAAGCGGATACATGTTCTGCACCGGTTGACGCGTTTCGCACGAGATGGCCATTTTTCAAAATAATTTCACGTTGGTTGTACCTAACTGAAAACCCATGGGCATTGGACAGTTTATGTCACACTATAGCACGGAAAGGCAATTCTGCATCAAAACAGGGGTAACGCAACACCTGTGCAGAATTTGAAAACCGCTGTTTTTTGGGTAGTAAAACGTTCCAAGCTCATATCTCTCGAACCAATGAAAATAGAAGGCTGTTTTTATTCCAAACGATACAACACGATGTTACCAGTTGATGACTACATTTTTGATCACCGTGTGATGAAGAAAAAATTTGGGCGTTACAATTTTTTCGAAAAAAGAGAAGGCTTCCAAACACGATTTTTTGTTACAGAATGAAAGGGCATGTTCCGTTTAGTGTGTGGATAAGAAGGCAAGTGTTTCTGTGCATGTACACAGCTTCTACAGCAATTGCAAAATCTGATAAAGCGCGAATTGTGAGTGTTTTTCTCAACCAACTTAAAAACTAGACACGTGCAAATTTTTTAAGTTACACCATCGTGGTCCCCGTGCGATTCCGCGTCTAATGACCTATAACACAATAAGATTGCGTCACTTGAAACATGCAGCATTGTTGATGTGCGCAAAGTTCCATGGTATTGTTTCTGAGACCCGCTCCGTTTGAAAGCAGATTGCCCGTGCAAACCATACAAAATGATGGAACAAACATTCAGTGCCGTTGTTGTCAACATACAAGTGAACACAAACCTCGCGGCGACAACTTTGTTGCGAAAGAAGTCAACTTTCAGAAACGGATGTTTTTTGTCTCAAATGAGGGCCAATAGCAAATTCAGCGCAAGTACGAAGCGGATGCATGCTCTATGCCGGTTGCCGCATTTTGCACGAGATGGCCATATTTCAAAGATAATTTCACGATGGTTGTACCTAACTGAAAACCTATCGGCATTGGACAGCTTATGTCACATCATAGCACGGGAAGGCAATTCTGCGTCAATACAGGTGTAACGCAGAATGCAGAATTTGGAAACGGCAGAAAAATAAGACCTGTGCAGAATTTGGAAACGGCGATTTTTTGGCTAGTAAAACAGTACAAGCTCATATGTCTCGAACCACTGAAAATAGAAGTCTGCTTTTACTTGCAACCGATGCAAAACGATGTTACCAGTTGTTGACTACAATTTTGATCAAAGGTTGATGACAAAAAATTTGGGGGTGACCATTTTTTCGATAAAAATTAGAATTGCCAAACGCGATTTGTTTGTTACAGAATGAAAGGGCATTGCCCATTTAGTGTGTGGATGAAGCGGCAAGTGCTTCTGTGCATATGAACAGTTTCTACAGCAACTGCAAAATTTCCATCAAGCGCGGCTTGTGAGTGCTTCTCTCAACTAACTTAAAAAGTATACACGGACTAACTTAAGTTACACCATCGTGTTCGCGGTGCGATTCCGCGTCTAAATACAGTTATATTGCACCAATTGAAACATGTAGCCTTCCTGATGCGCGAAAATTTCCACGGTTTTAATTTTGAGACCCGCTCCGTTTGAAAGCAGATTGCCCGTGAAAACGATACACAATGATAAAACAAACATTCAGCGCCGTTGTTGGCAACATTCACGTGAACACAAATCTCGCGGCGGTCACTTTGTTGCGAAGCAAGTCAAAATTGAGAAACGGATGTTTTTTCGTATCAAATGAGGGCCAATAGCAAATTCAGCGCGGGTACGAAGCGTATACATGATCTGTGCCACTTGACGCATTTTGCACAAGATGGCCATTTTCAACATAATTTCACGTCGGTTGTACCTTGCTAAAAACCTATCAGCATTGGACATTTTATGTCACACCATAACACGCGAAGGGAATTCTACGTTAAAACAGGTGTAACGCAACACATGTGCAGAATTTGAAAACGGACTTTTTTGGGTAGTAAAACATTCCAAG